GCATTCTTTTCTCTCCGACATTTTTTGAAATTTTTTTACGTCTACGCAATTATATTCGTAAAGAAGCAGTTATCTAGTAGATGGTTTCACTTCCCATAGAGGTCGTCGTCATAACGACGATTTTAAGTGAAAGTGCAAAAATCTTAGCAGAATAAATTGTGTATTTCTATGCCTTCTCACACTAGAAATGTAGCAGTAAGAACGATATAAGTTTTTTTTACCATAGCCAACCTGTAGTGGAACAAATTGTGGTAGCTCTCCTTCTATTCCTACTCTCTTTATGACGAAATTATTTTTCTCAATATTCCAGTTGTTTACCTAAATTAGTTTTCCTGCAATTCACCCCAAATTTATCGCTAATTCCGTCCAGTGGTCGGGACCCACGAAGCCTTCGATCTCTCCTGGCAAATCGGTATCAGAGTTGTCTGGTAGGAGAGCAAGACTTGCTTGGTATATCGGACGGACACCGCAAGCAATCATATAGACCAGAAGTGGATTCAATTACTTTTGCGGTACTTAATCATATCCAAACACCACCAAGCACTTTACACTCTATCCTTTGAAAACCATTAATAGTCTTTGTTATCGGCCTCTTATGCCGAACTCATCTAAAGATCATTGAAAAAATAAATTTGGAAAAATAATGGAAAACTCCACTCAGCAGAAGGAAAAGGCTCTTTTACTCCATTTTTTTAAGGCAATTAATATATACGGTAGATTTTACTGCTTTTCTGCAGCGTGTTCAATTAATCAGATTGCGTCTGAAATGCTTGTCTTTTGTGTTATGAATATGCTTATCCTACTACATCTTCCACTTTGTTTTCGGTGCTATATCCTTCATATTATTATGCACTTTGTTCTATAACGCTATAATTTTTATCTTAACCTTTTTATTTACTGCCTATTCTTTTTGATGGCAGGGTATGTTGCGAAATATAACTTCTATGGTCCTGAAATATTTGCAAAACTCCGGATCGCAGGTGTCCGCGGTGGGGAACGGACGCGCTTTGACCCTTTCCGAAGGCTCCAGTGATTGCTGATGGCGCTAATCGAATGAACTAGTTGAGAGAGTCGAAACGAAGGATCCGCATGGTGCAGTGGTGAACGCGTTAGCCCCTGGAAGAGTAATATCGCGTTCGTTCCCTATCGCAGACACCTGTGGTCCGGAGTTTTGCAAATATCTCAGCATCGTTGGGGTAAAAATTAGGTGTTGAAATAATTTTTTAACAGTATCGAGGAAGTCCACATTCCTTCATTCATGTGTTGTTCTATGTTTCAACGCAAAGCACATTCACTTAGGTGTACAAATTCTGTTATTATAATAAGAACTCTTTTATAGTTGTCCACTTTTCTTTTTTTGTTCTTCGAGGAATTCGTAAGTCTTTTGCGGAGGCGAGTAACGAAGTAGTAGCGGTGCCGTTCATCATGTGCACGGTACTTCTTCAACCCCGCACTGGGCTCACCAAGCCCTTCATTATCTTGGGGTCTGGAGGTGCGTACCGGACATGCCCGGAAACGGTTGACTCTCTGAAATCCCAACAAGCACGCTCATTCACGAATGTTCTAGGATTCCAGGGAGAATCGATTCAACCACCATTCAACGACTTTCATAAAGAAAACGACAATCCTCAACTAGCAGCCGAACCCACACGTGAAAAGTTCGGAGCGCTTCGTGAATAAAACTGATGTAAGGAAATGAATCAAGTGAAAAAAATTGCTGGGATCAGTGACTTGCAAAAAAAGTTTACCTACCTAGGTTTTTCCCTTCAAATTTATAATTTCTATCGCTTAACATTTCGCTGTTTTCGATGTAAAAATGACTACTTAGTGATTCTTATAATAATAAGCACTAGCTACATCTAACGATACTAATACTTAAAGAACTAACCCTTTAGAGCGAATACGGCTAAAGTTGCGTAGCGAGTCTTTAGCTGCAAAATGACATGCATACGTGGTAAAAAAAAACATTGTACTTATTGAAGTTGGGTTGAATTTCCCGGATAATTCTTTCGTAAAAAGTACATAGCTCTGCCCCGATAGCAGAGTTTTTAGCTTCTGCCAAAGATAGTCATCACCTTAGAATGATTTATTTCCCCGCCATATTGATATCAGGCGAATAAGCCACGCTTCTTATGAAGTGCTCAATAAATTCATAATAGTCATTGTCTATCTGTTCGTTACCGAAGTTCCTCTCGTCGGTGACAATAAGTTTTGTGAAGGTATGGAAGGTTTTTTCAAGAGCCCTATAAAATTTTAGCAACTTTAGTGGTTTGCTCGATATTCTTGCACAGTAAAGCTTCTAGAGATTCTGCTTCTCCAACGATGTGTAATAGACAAAGGGCTGAGTTTTCTATCCAGTTCCCATTGTTTTTTCTATTCCTTTCTTAATAAAGAGGCAAGCTAGTAAATTATTGTAACAACCGAACGAATATCGGCCCCAGATGTGATGTTCTGATGGATTTCGAAACCTGTAGAGCCTGAAACTGTTATAGTTAATTGCAACCTACATGTAGAAAAATCAGTATCCATGTATATCTATCGTATCTCAAGCAAGTGGTTAGTTCATAATTCGACTGTTGGACTTGCATTTTGCTGAAATCAAGTTTAGCTCTTAGGTATTTCCATAGTAGCGCTTCTTCTCCTACTCCATATTTTCGAATTCTGCGTTCCGCTTGAAGACCCCCAGCACTACGCTTTTAGTACGATGAAGTCTTATAGCACGATTTCACTTCCCCACTCAGTTCAATTCTCAAGTTGGACGAAGAAAAAGCGGTGATTTTTTTCTGTCAGCACATTTGTCACAAAATAAGGTAGACAGCACCTTCTGAACTGACTAAGACCGTATCTCTATCATTGGGATAGATGTAGTGGTACCGTAGAAATGTTCTTTCGGAATTAAGATGTCCTATCCAGGGTGCTGTAGTTTTTCAAGTGAAAAAACCTTGTTCATGTTTCACATTTAATAGAGTTTCTGAGCTCAACATCTCTATATCCAATGCTGGATTTCTAGTGATATTTCTATTATATCATAGAAGTCCGGAATCTCTTTCTAAGAATTTTTAATTGGCACCCACCATTATCCACTCATCCACTCCACCCATCCACCATTAATGATTTCTCCGTACATTTTTTATCTCTCGGTCACTTATAATAAACTCCATACATATGCAACCATCACTTTGCATCTTTTATTCATCTCCGTCTTCCTCTTATTCAAGTCATTTAGAAAAAGATACCTTGCAGATGATTCTAACACCATAGTCAAGCAAAACAAATAACTCTTGTTGGTAATTTAGATTATTATTCTATATAATCCGGTTGCTTCCCCTAGTATGTATTTCCCTTCGAATATTGTCCTGAATAAACGGCTTCATAGTTATGGCTTCAAGTCTAGGAATCTAAGAAATCTCTTCTCATAAGGAATTCTTCTAGGTTACTGGTACAAATTATTGTGTAGAAAAAAGTAGGAGCCATTTATGAGCTGGGTATGAAACGGTTCATATCATTTATTGAAAGTTTGCAAAAGAGAGACACGTCAAGCAAAAGAAAGCAATCCACGTGTCCTATAACGAATGGTTTAGTCCACTTAGTAAAGGATTCTGGAGGTATTTCAAGGTATGGAAACTTCTTGAAAATACCTTAATTTGCTATACTCATTACGTGCATCTATTTCAGGGAATTCTTTAAAGAAGCTCCATGACATGACCTTAGTGTTGCAGGTGGTTTTTTTTGCACTATTAGGCTTTCTTTTCTGGCTTATGTGTGTTAAGCAAAAGTTTAATGATCACAATAAAAGTGCATAAAGTTCGTGTGAAGCAGCCCAGATTCGTAGCTGTACGAAAAAAAGATTATTCCATAATGAATAGTGTAGCCCTCCCAACGGCTCACAGCCTCATCATGGCTGGAAAGTGTTCCTGGGTGTTGGGCTGCGATGTACAGCGGTGGAAATCGTCCCCCTAACATGGTCTACCAAACCGGGAAGGAAACCAGCATTTCCATCAGGAAGCCCAGCTAAGAGTACACCAATACGAGGATCCACCACCGTCCTGGTGTGAAACTAGTCGCATGGTGGCAAATCTCCCTCTGTTCCACAAAGACGGGCGACTGGCCGTGGTGCTGAAGACCTGGGACAGACTTTGGCCAGGCCGATCTCGGGACTCCAGGGAACCACAATGGCTAGACCAGCAAAACTCCGAAAAAACAGAAGTTATGCTGAGGACCCCACAACCAGTGAAGACAGGCCATCTAAATATCCAAATAAGTAAGATTAGTTTAACTTCACGGAAATGTTTTGGAAAAAAAATGTTGTAACTGCAGTAAATAATACCAAACTAAATCTTTCCAGGTTATGGACTATGATCGCTTCACCTCTGACGACCCAATCGGAGAAATAATACTTCCAATGAAGAATGTCAAATTTGCAAACAGTCCAGTTTACTGGAAACACTTACAACGTCCCACCGTGTCGAGGGTAAAGTTTTAACTGTGATAGGCTCTCCTGCCACACCTTAACTCGTTTATTTTATTCAAAACGACACTCTCTATTCACCGTAATTCAATGCAATCAATTTACTTTTCTAACACTATAAGCATAGCATAACTGAGTGTTATTAGTATTTTAGGAACAATGCGGTGAATTGATGCTGTCCTTGTGTTATCTTCCCGATGTGAGTAAGATTACCGTAAGTGTGATAAAGGCGCGAGATTTGAAGGCAAAGGACAAAATGGGAAGCTCTGGTAAGTGAATGTTTCTTGAAATTATATCATCATGTGAGTATATTATACCTGACATAAGAAAACTTATTCACTGTTGTATAAGTCGTCGTTAAAATGGCTACTCATTGTATGAATATTTTTGAAAAAATAATAGGCAATATGCCTTATATGCCTCGAGAGACCTCGTGCATTCAACTCCACCCACAGCAACGTAGAAGTGACTGAATGGGTATTTTGGCCTAAACAATCACATAGCGATGTATCAAGGCAGTGTTATTAGTCTTCACATAAATTTGATCCCAATTTGTCGACTATAGAGGGATGAAGGTGCCGATTAGCACCATGTGCGGGAACGAACTAACACCCCAATGGCACACTTAACTATTGCGTTCTACGCCCATATTTTTAGAATATACAAAAATCGGTGATAGAGGCCGAGTCTCGCCTATATTTAAGGCTTATTTTAAAATCATTTGCGGCTCAGTCCATTTACTAGATACTCTTCTTTCAAACAGGTGCAGATTAGTATCCGCCCTTTCGAAGAACCGTAACGCAATTAAATATCGAGCAGCGCAGATTAAAGTGAAACCGAACTTTTAGGGCTTCTCAAAATTTTTTCCCAAAAGAGTTTACCACTTCAGATGCATACGTGAAGCTATGGTTAGTACAACAAGGTAATAAACTGGAAAAGCATAAGACGATGGTGAAATCTCAAACGCTGGCGCCAGTCTTCAACGAGTCGTTCGCATTCACGGTTCCAGAAAAAGAAGTCCTTGAAAAGCACGTAAACCTTGTGGTGACGGTGAGCACAGCAAACTTCTCCTCTGTGCGTTTACTAACATTACAAGAAAATTTTCTAGCATTTTTCAATGCTCTTTCATATGCTCCTCGATTAAATTCCCGTTTATTATTGCTCATTATTCATCAATTGTCGAAGGAATTTCACGGCTACTCAAACAACCGAATTCGCATACGCTCACACATCTATCCTTTCAGTATATGTTCTCCACATTCGAACACTCAATGTTGCTGTTTTCATTTACAG